TTGCCCCTCACTCTCGTGTAAATCTCTCTCCTTCCTCTCCCTTCCTGGATACCACATATCTATGGACACCTTTCATGATTTGTCCTTCTCTAACTCTTTGTTTAGTATATCTATATTATACATATAAGTGAAACTATCCAATGCTTTTTTTTTTCCTAGCATAACCTCTTCCTGTTCAGCAATACAGCTACAAATAGCAAGAATATCTTTTTTGATCCCTGAAGTCGCATTCCAGCATATGTGTGTGTGCCTGTGTGTATGTATAAATACACCTACTGACTTCTGTTCACTCATTGACTCTTAAAAAATTATCTGGTATAAGTTATCTTTTGGAATCTTTATTTGCCCTCTAGTCAAAGAAGCACTGATATGTCAAGCACCAATCATTCAAAGAGAAAATGATTTGTGATTAATATTGTGGTGGACATGAGTGCTTATTTAACATACACTGAGCCCTGAATATAAGAAGGCTATCACCCTAATGTAGTCTATCAAATAAGATTAATTTGCAGGGCCCAACAGGTTAAAGTACAGCACTATGAAACTTTCCTCAGCCAGGGCAGCAGCACCAGTTCAATCCCCAACCAGGAAGCTAACTCACATGGCACCATTGACTCTTCCACTTCTCCCCTCAGCAGTGTATTTCAGTAGATACTCCTGTTCTGCTCTCCACTGTCTCTGGAGAATCTCTCACCCCCAATCTTCATACCTCTAGCCTATACCCAGGCTCTTATATGCATAAAATAAATAAAACAAATCTTTAAAAAATAAATAAGACTCATTAGTAAAATCACATGGCATTACTAAGTAGTAAAATTCATGCTAATTCATTGTATATTTTCTATATTTTGTTATAGTCTTTTATTGCCTTATAAAGATCAACTTCTAACCTGCTGTAATTTTGATTTTTTTATATTTATTTGTCTCTCATTCCTCTATCCCTAGCTAAAATGTAAGTTCCCAGACACTTTTTCCCCTTCATGCATTGATATAACAGCAGTAGTGCATGAAATAACAACTATTTTTCATCTTTCGAATGTATGCTTGACAAATAAGTAAATGAGATCTAAGTCTTTCTTCAGTCTAAAATTATTTAAATAGTTCAAAATGTTGTGTTATTATTTTCCTAACTAGAAAATTTAAAAATAATTTACTTTAAATTTTATAATTATTTAACATAGTTACAGAGAAAAAAGGCTTTACCATTAGGTGGTGTTAAGGTCTAGCTCTACTACTTGAAGCAATATAAATTACGTTACCTTAATACTTAACCTTATTGTCTATAGAAGAATAGCAATAGTTATCTATTGTTGTTGAAAAGTGAACAAAGGAAGTATTTAGTTCAGAATCTGGTAATTAAAAAGTATTTAATAAGTGTTAGTAAATAGTATTGGTAAATTATACTCATATCATAATGGTTATAATTTATTTTTTATTACAAAGCTAAATTTTCACTGTAAATATAAAATTTGGTCAAAAAAATCTCCTTAATTGGCATGGGTAACCTATTTTTACATTAGAAAAAAGCATTGTGTGCTAGAAAGTACTTCTGAAAATGTTTTCTAGTAGTATTCAAAATATCTTTTTACTCTAAAGAATGATTTTTTTTAATGAAAATGACCAGAGCCATGATGTAATAATGTACAAATACATAGTATCATATTTTAAAAGATATGGAAACTAAATACATGTCCCAAAAGGTCAAGCTAATTGTTTGCCTTAAAAAGACTATCTACATAGGTCATCTAATCAGAGACAAAAATACAAAAATGTTTTATTACATAACGCAAAAATACGGTATTTTTTCATTATATCACCAGATTTTTGGTGATGTAGTTTTGGAGAACAACAAAATATTTATAGGTATAATAAGTGATAGTTCACAATAGAGGACTGAGTACATCAAACAAGAAGTGTTTATCAGAGGGTAGTAGAAATATATGAAGATTGTACAAAACAGCAGCAGTAGGGCTAAGATAAAGAGCCAGAGATGTTAATATAAATGGTGTTGGGTGAAACTCAGAACTAAGTGGTCTCCAACGACCTTGTTATAGAGTGATACAATTCAATAAAATACAAATAAAGGAGTCCTATAGGGAAATCAAGTATACTCAGCTATCCTGATGAATCTGAGAACTTAAACAGAAACAGTTTTGTTCTGAGAAGAAAGAACATGTGCTTCAAAGTTTAATGATTCTTATGTCTGAATTTTTGGAGAATAAATATACACAGAATTTAATATATATATATATATAGAAGAACCTGACATTTTACCTAGGGACATCAAAAACAAATGGTAATACAAGAGGGAAATATACAAATTTGTGATTTATGTGTTGTATTTTAATCAACTAAAACTGATTAATCCTTTAATCAAGGATTTTAATCAAGACTGAAGACAAGGCAGAAGAATTCTAAAGTATTGTCAAATAAACCAACATTCTATCATATGAAAATCTATCTTAGAAGCAACACAATAAAAATGAGCCATGGTTCCTGAAAGACTGAGACCACAGTGAAAAAGCCTTATACATGGCTTATGTTACATTAGGATCAGAAAGCAAGTTAGCTATTTCTGTTTCCTGGGAGGTCCTAGTGTAGGAACTTGCAGATGAAATGTTACCTTAAGCCAATTGAGAACTGGGGAAGGTATAAGTGTGTGTATGTCATGTCTTCTGATTTCATCTCATTGCACCATGGTTCAGGAGACATATGATCCTGCTAGATTTGCTAACTGCACTGAGAATCATTGACATGGGACCTGAAATCAACAAAACAAGCTGTGATCTGATATGGGGACACTCCCAGGAATTAAGCAGATTAGCTTTAATTGCCAGGAGCACAAGAAAAATAATCAATTTAAAACAAAGAATTACAGATGTGGGTAAGAGGACAGGACTAAAAATTCTAGTCTGTGTATGGCAGCTCCTCTTGACAGGGTTTCATTTTACCACATACAGTATCAGTAAATTTATCATGTACTCAAAAGTTCTTCTGAGACTTTTTTTGTTCTTGTGTTTATAAATTACACACATATATCTACCTTTATCTATGGAATGCATATCCATATATAGCATATATCATATCATAAATATTATAATAAACTATAAAAACATACACAAATTATATATATGTAACATATAATTTAGCTTTGTACATTTCATTATAAAACCCTCAATAAAAAATGATGGGATCTTAAGAATATAAAGCATGTTATTCTATGAAGGTAACTAGTTCACTAAGTACCTACCTACACAAAATATCAAGGTAAGGAGTACAAAATCTCTTTTGGGATAAATAACTGTGTTCTAAATTGAGGTTTAGCATCTTTGGACATGATTTAAAAAATGACAATTGTGCCATTCAAAAGAGAGCCTCCAATTTTACAAGAAAGTCTATAATGCATGCCAAACTTATTCTTAAGGAAAAAAAAATATCAACAACAAAGTGATAGAAGCAATGCGAGCCAAAAAGATATTTTCTTAAGGTGAAATAACAAATAATACTATTCAAATTATAAAACATTCAAAAAGAAAATAAAACTTACTTTAATGATGTATCTTTAAAACTGATTATAATAAAATATGGATTGTGTTTTATTGTTTTATTCTCATTTTGGGGGATTTTAAGGCTACTGAGACGGGATCACCTCATGCCTGACTTGGCCTTCAAGGGAGGATGTCAAATTGAAGACAATAAGCCTGTAGAGACACAGACTACTTCAACTTTTAAATTCCTACTGATACATTTTGCCTCAGGAGTCACAATGTAGTCTATTAATAAGGTATAAAAAAATAAAAATAAAAGGCACTGAAGGCATGCTTTCATTTCACCACCCCTACTAGTTGGCAAGTATATTTACAAAGGAAACAATATTATGCATCAAAACCTTTCAATTGGCTTAATGTATATTGTACATTAATAGTGTCAAACTGCATAATCTATAGTAACTATGTAATCAGTAGCTACTAATATATAATAACTAGTAACTGTATAATAAGCAAACATAAAATGAACACCACACAAATTTTTTTCTATGATGTTATCTACTAACTATAGCTCAGGCCACCACATGAGACCCCTGAGAACTTGCCACCTTGAGCAAAGGTGTTAGAGGCAGAAAGAGCTTGGGACCTAAAATTTGTCAGAGCATAAAGCATGAAGCATGAAACATGGTGAACTTTCTTACAGTTCTAAGAACACCAAATGCTCTGTTTACTGACAAAAACAAACACTTTGTTACCCTTGAGCCAAGTTTTAAAGAGTTTTTTTGGAAGTAAAACTAAAGAAATTGTACCAAATATTCTGAGAACAGTGAAATCCAGGGACATTTGTAGTAATCTTAATTATATTAGTGAATAACCTCTCGCTTGATATACAGTCTTCCTTTTGTTATCCCACTTGAGATATTCAAGTTTTTATTTCCTAATTCTCCCTGTAAAACCTCCAGTATGGGAGGGGATTATGCCAAGCAGAGCAAGTCAGGAGAAAGACAAATGAATATAAGTGATGCTTATATGTGGAATTTAGGGGAACAAAACAAAAGATAAAGATAAAACCAAACCAATAATAAATCCTAAAAATCTGATTCTATAACTGAGAAGTCGAGAAGTGGCCAGGAAAGATGAGAGAAAAAAGTCAAGAGTAAGCACAGTGGACAATGGTGGAGGATTATGGAAATCTTGGAGGTGAGTGTGTGTGGTAACATATGCCTGAAAGGGGTATGACTGGGTATGTGTAAATCATATACCGTGTAGTAAACCAACTTTACATCGATTTAAATCTATTTTAAAAACAAATACATTAAAATAAAATATTGAGTTTGTTTCATTGGAAATAACTGAATTAAAAAAGGGAATTATAAACATATATTTGTGTGTATATTTTTGTTATTAACTCAAATTTCTTTAACAAAAATCAAACAAACAGATAAAATGTCAGCATTAAACATTAACCTGCATTTAACCAAAAATAATTTTCAATCTGTTCATCTTATATATATTTATAGACTTAAGAACAACACACACACAAAAAAAAAATAAACACAGTAGTTTATAAAATTTAGTACATATAATAAGGTAATGGGAAATTTTCTTTATGATAGTGTTGGTATTTATACAGCGATATGAACAAATAAACATGTTGAAATATATTGATGAAATTAAAGATAGATTAAAATATAGAAAAACCAAACTCCGAGGCATGTTTTGAGAAAACCAAAATAGAAAACTAAAAAGAAGTTCTTCAATATAAATTGGCAATATTCTAAGTAAAAACACTGATGTTTGTGTTCTGGATAGATATTTAAGTAAGAATTATAAAATGATTTGTTTTTTGTAAAACCTCAAAATGTGGTACCGATTTTAATTAAATACCATGATTGTGGCCAATAATTTGAATGGAAAATTCACATTTCCTTTAAAAATTAATTTATGTGCTATATTTGTAAAAGTTTTACTTGGAATTAAGTAGTTAATTAAATAATTAATTAAATAATTAAGATGAAAGATTCATTGTTATTTTTAAAAGACCCTATGTTAAAATTGAGCTTAATTAAGAGTGGAAATTTTTAAAAAGGAGAAAACATTTCCAATCACATAAAATTAATAAAGCTTCATTCTCACAAATAACTCAATGTAGGTAAAGATGCTTATCTCAGATGAAACCAACCCTCTTTTGGCTGATGTTTACATTCAGTTTTTGTTCTCTCTTCATGAACTTTCTCCTATTTTTAGATGTTTATTTAAATACTTCATAGCATGCCCAATAAATAGGTCAAAGCAAAACAAAATAGTCTACTGATAAAAGAATTCCCAGCAACAACTTTTCCAAACATGATAATCTGTGTTGTGTGATTTCCTCATTATAACTGATGATAAACTATCTCTTAAAACCTTCTACATTTTAAGTAGTAAACCTTAAAACCTTGTACATTTTAAGTAGTAATATTCTTGTCACTTGACATAACAATGACATAGATACTTTTCTGTACATTTTCATGAGATCAACCAGAGATAACTTTCAACAAATGGAAATTCCATTTTTCAAGAATATGTAACTTGAGCTGTGTTAACATTTCTTGAGCTTTGTATCTAGGATGTCTGAGTTTCACTAAATATAAAAAAAAATCTATGCAAAAAAATCCAGATGTTAAATTTCACTTACACTTATGGGTTTCTAAGGAACATTTACTGTCATTGAATTAACATTTTTGATGCTTATATAACTCCCATCCTGTTAAAATTTGTTTTTCTGTAATGATTATAAATTGCAGATATGGAATATCTTTATTAGTCAACAGTATACAAAATGTAAAACCTAAACTGAAAAATAAATGAAAATTAGTAAATATACTCATTTTTATAATTAATTTATAATATTATAACAAATCAGATACTAAAGCTTTATCTACTCTATCTATTGGTATTATATTTTTTCTCTTTTCTTAAGTAAACAATGAAACAAAAGATAAAGATGATAGAATACTACTAATAAACTACGCATTGGCCCTTAACAATGCAGACCTTTTTCTTCCTTTCTTAACTTGACAGACCAATATTTTTTTTCTCTGGGTAGTTAGAAAAGAAATATAAATTGCGATGCTATGTTTTATATTTAAGATAACATTTGTCAAAGAAAAATAAAGTTAATGAATTATATTCTATATCAAATAAGATAAAATTTCCAAATGCATTTTAACATTTCTAAATCAAAAGTTTATTACCTAATATGCTTCTTACTCCAAAATAGCAATAGTCATTCTTATACAATTAATAATATACAAAAATTAAAATGTACAAAAATACAAGCATTATAGCACGCCTTTTAAAGGACAGACTGGAAAGATTAGCTACCTTTATGCTTAGTCCAAATCCTCCTACAGTTTGTCTTCTAATGGTCACCGTTCTTTCCTGAAAGACATGATTTTAAAAGTGGTTAGCACTTCCTAGTACTATACTACCACACATCTTTCACCTCTGTGTTCTGCTTTATTATTTAAAAGGAAATATTTTGTGGTAGTATAGAGACTCCAAATATTGCAATAAATAACTGTAATTTTTAAAATGTTAATAAATTATAAATTATAGCTATATAAATCAAGATAGAAATGGATCTTTAGTTTTATTAAATTGCTAAACTTTTAAAAAACAAAGTATCTTAAAGTGATTTTTAGTGATTTTAAGTGATTTTTAGACACTTGGAATCTTAACCTTTAAATTTCTTCTTGTTTTTACATTATATATTCCTATTGGTCAAAAAGTGACAAAGCAGCTAGTTATATAAAAGTAACTCATTGTAAATAGCAAAAGGTATTTTTGACAATCAAAGTTTTATCTCTTTCACTATCAAGTTTTTATTGCTTGTTGAAATAAGAGCTGAGCTGGTAGGCTGCTATGTCCCAAAGTATAAATGATTCATATGTATATCTGGGATGTGAATCATGACAATACCATGCTCAAAATGGATTTTACACCTAAGAATTAGTGAATTATCAGTTCACTTACATAAGAGAAATAATAATCCATCCATTTGCATATAAAACTTAAAATAATCATAGTCACATGTGGGCACATTCTTTAACTTTCAAAAAAAAATGTCAACTTTACACTGTATTGGGACAATCATCTTACATAATACACTCTGAGGAAATGTGCTGTGGGGTTAGGAGACCTTTAATTGACAACATTCTTAACTTATTTATAAGACCCTCATCTTCTTGACACTTTCCCTATCCATAAAGATTTGAGATGCCTCCCTTCCCCCTTGACTCTGGGGGAGATAGTTGTCATCTAGTCCCTATCACTCCACGAATGCCTGATTCATGGACTATATTACCCATTAAACAAATCTATATACTGTTGCTTTATTGAATGAATTATCTTTCTTTTTGGTTTTGTAGAGGGGTTATACAAAACATACATAATTTATAAAGAACTAAGAAAACATGAATAAGGATGTGAATTTTTTAAGTCATTCATCTTGAATTAATTGTAGATTTATTTTATATGTAAAACAAATTAGTTACAAATAAATTGCATTTAATAACATAAATGTATTTATTTTTAACTGTGTGCTAAGGTAAAACAAAAGGTTGGACCCTCCCTGGTGGTGCAAAGGTTAAAGCACTATGAAGCTAGCTGAACCCACTGCAGCACTAGTTTGATCCCCAGCTAGGGAGGTGACCCACATAGTATGGCAGACCCCTCCTGTTTCACCCTCTGCTTGTAAACCAGTTCTTATATGCATAAATAAATCTTTTTTTTTTTAAGATCTATTTATTTGTACATACAGAACTGAGGTACAGGCCAGAGGTCCAGGGTTGGTGTAAGGATTAACCAGTGACAGAGCAGGGAGCAGATTAGGCAGATCCATGAAGTACACTGCTGAGGGGAGCAGTGGGTGAGACAGGAGAGGTCTGCAACACCATCTGGTTCACCTCTGAGGCTGGGGATCGAACTCACACTGATGTGGCTGACACCAGCCTGCACTGCTGCATCCTAACCCATTGTACCACCAGGGAGGGCCCAATAAATAAGTCTTTAAAAAGCAAACAATAGGTTTTATATGTTATCTGAACATTTTTCAAACCATCACTAAACATATTCACAGAAATAAGTGTATAACTTCATTACAATTGTGTAAGCAACTTTATAAAATATGTTTTTCATATTAAATAATACCACAAACTATTTTTTATTCAAAAGCTCATTGTTATGTCACTTCCCATTGCTGAAGTCACATATTAAAATAAGGAAAGTATGACAAGATGTAATGTTTTAAAAACATATTGAAAAATGTGTACATATAACTATATCTGCATTTACAAACATAAAAATGAACATGAATACATGCATGACACATAAACACAATCCAAATTAAAATAACTTGAATACATACTAAAAATAATCTCTAATTGAATAGGACAAGAACAATATGTTAAATAATCTTTATTTATGTCCCACTTAATGATTAGCTACAGGGAAGTAGTATTTTGCAAACAATATCAGAATGGAATTTGTAGACTTCAATGTCACCATGACCGAAACTATCCACAAGTCAATAAATTTGGCAAACTACACAAATCATGGGAGATAACTAATTTGGTGGTAAATAATACATACAGATTTATTTGAATATCCATGTTTGTTAAGGACTCTAGCTTATTTTAGTAGACACTAAAGGAACACACACACACATAATGTGTTAGTTTTAAAAGGAATTCTCCCTTAGTACTGACATTTTGCTATATAATTTACATGCATCTACTTCATATTCCAATACTTACAGAGTAGATCAATTACTAGAAGACTCGAATGTGGGACAATTAAATGACTTTATTTTTTCTTATAAAACAGGAAAAGAAAATTGCTGTAATAATACTAGCTGCAAACTAAACAAAAT